CTACTAGTAGATACATACTACTTTTTAGACAAGAGTATCTTGATTTAAGTTTTGAAAGTAGTACACAGACAATAATACTAAACAATAAATAATCCTAACCACCTTATACTTGGAGATAAAATGTTTAACAACAATGATGAATCAAGGATAAGCTAATATAAATAATTTATGATCATAATTCAAAAGGTAAAATTGTATAAGTAAAATAGAAAAAATAATAATTCTAGATGGGATCAAACTGGAGCTAGAGATTTGATTATATGATATTAGAGTAGTGTTTGACATTGTGATTCAATCATATTTTTTTCTAATTTTTTTAGTTTTAAATTTATTTATAATTTTAGATTGTTTTGATGTGTTTTTAATAAAAATAAATTTTTAAAGATAAATTTTTAAACTAAAAACATTTTGAAAAAACATCTATACCAAACTCCTAAATAAATCCTAGATTTTTTTTTATTTTTTTTAGAAAGAGTAGATAACTTTAGAAAAAGTAGGAGTTTGTTGGTAAAGAACCATAAGTTTGAGGGAACTCTTAAGAAATAAAATAAACAAAAAGAAAAAAGGTAAGTTCTTTAGGAAGTGGAACCTTGTGATCTCTGGTCATGTTCAAGGGTTACACATAAGATTATTTTTCTAAATTAAATTTTAAAACCTAACTTATTAATTAAAACACCACTCAACTGACCTTTCATTATATTCTTTAATATTTTATTTGATTATTTATTGTATATGTCAACATTATAGTTTTTAACCTATTACGACGGTTAATCAAGTATATATTTCTAGTTACAAGTTAACTAAATTGATTAAAGTTAACTTGGTTTAATTTAATATTTTTTAGTTTATAAAAAAAGTAAAAATAATTTTATATTGAAAATATTTTTAAAGAAATTATGACTAATTTTTTTAGGCTAACCAAATCACAAGTTAACTTTTTTATTTATTAAATCATATTAAATAAATTCTTTTTATATTTTCATTGTACTTCGCCTCATTTAGGAGTTAGATTATAAAACAATGATGAAGATATTATTGATTATTTATCATGCTTCTATATATTGAGCCTATTAGATAATATAAGGTTTGTTTGATATATAGTGTTGTAATACATGGTTAAACTTATATTTTATTTTAATTATAATTTTAAAAATATTTATTTAATTAATAGAATAGATTCACAAAAACTCTTTATTAAAATCTAAAAACTATAATTTATATTTTTTTAAGTCGCAACCTGCGACAGCACGGAGTTTAAGATGTAAAGAAAAAAAATAAAATCCAGGAAGCCCAAATAATATATATATAAATTAGATGAACATCAATTTAATTTAACTTAAACAAAGAAAAAGAAATGGAAAGGTGATGTCGGTCATCTGCTGACAAATCTAGAATACCATAAGCTTGGGGCACTTTTGTTAGTTTGCACTTGATTTTAGTCTTTAATGCCGGCATGCTAAATAAAACACACAACTCTAGGAGAACAAGGAAATAAATAATAATACATACAACACTTTATGAGGTTGTCTAAAAATAAAATTTGTTTACGAGAAAAAAATTACTATATAATATAAAAATTACAATAATATATTTTATTAATAGAAAAAAGATTAATAATTTCTCTTCTAATAAAAGTAAACATTTTAATTAGAGATTCTCTCACAAATACCTCATATAATTTCATTGGATCACTCTCCTTTTGTCTCTGTGCTTTGAACCTCTTTATTGTTGGCTGGGCATCCCATCCTTCTCCACAGAAAGAAATGGGGCACCGTTTTTAATTGTTGGTCAGCTTTCGGTGCATTAAATGTAATGTGCAAGAGTGGGGGAGTTTGGATAATATCAATTAGTTTTGAATAATTTATACTATCCTAAGTAACATGTTTGAAATCCAAATTGAAGAGTGTGTTTGTTTTTTTGTTAAAAAACATTTTTAATTTATTTTTTATGATTTTAAATTATTTTAATATGTTGATATTAAAAATAAATTTAAAAAAATAAAAAAATTTCCTTTCTGCTTTGTAAATAGCCATGCCTGAAATACTGAAATCGTCGAAAGCAGCAATTGAGAAAAGGCTTCTTCAGAAATCTCCCTTTGAAAAGTTGTGTTCTGATATAATACCAGCTTTGGTTGAAGCACTGGTTAAGGTTATACTGTAATTCATAATTATTATTATTATTATTGAATTGAATCAGATAACTTGTGATTATGAGAAATCTTTAACTACTACTAGTATTTGTTTGTAGGAAGAAGTCATTAAAATTAGTGCAGTAATGTTGGATTCCTTGGAGGATTGCTTGGAGGTCTGTAGCATTTTTTTCCCCTTAATGTGTTAATTGGTCCACTGATAAGAACATAAATATCAGTCATGTTGTTAAGAAAGACTACGCATTCTCTTCCTATGAAAAGAACTGCATTTTATGCGGCAACTAAAAAGATATAGATAATCATGCATCTGCTAACTCGGGCCACAGCTCAGGGGGGGGACAAAAGAGTCATGGCTCAAAATTAGTTGCTTGGTGTTAGATATTCTGACTTAAAATTAGTTTTAGCTATCTACTTGGTATAGAATATTCCCAGCATGGAATGAAGAGGAGACTGGTCGTTCCAACTTTTGCTCATCTCTCCGGCATGAAAAATCTTAAATTGCTCCTTATGCGAATACCCGCTTTTAATCTCCATGGTGAGTATAAATTGTTATCTGACAGTTGAGCACGGACTCTGATGACCAGGAACCTTATATGGCTCAATCCTTAGATTTGACTGAATTACTTTCCTCATGCCGAATAGTCTAGGTCTCTAGGGAAGAATTGATGCTCTTATCTTATCAGCACAAACTTCTCTCCTTCAGTTATCGGGACCTGTTTTAAATATAGACCAGATCAAGCGCTTCTTGTCTGTAATAATGGACGTTCTCGACACTAGCATGTCCATTCCCAAAGGTGATGAAGCATCGGAGCAAGGAGAAAGAGTTAGTAAGAAAGTAAGTGATTTTATCACTTTTCACCGGATGATTGACTCCGCAACCGCTTGGCGCTTTCATTCAAATAAGGATATTATAGTTAGTGTTAATTCTTACCACATATTTGTTTCTTCATAAAGGTTTGTGCTTGCTTGAAGATTTTCATGAAAACTTACAAGGGTTCCTTGTTGCAATTCTTCGACCAGCTTTTATCACCTATGGAATATATGTGGGTACGTTTTATTCTTTAATTCTTCCTTTTTTTTACCCCTCTCTTACATAAGCTCAGTTTATTGTGATTCCCCTGTTAGTGACCAATTAGTATGTTGATGTCTCATGCTCAGTGAGCAGCATTCGCATCCGTACAAAAGGCTGAACCATGCTTAAAATTTGCCTTTTCTTGTAATCTAGGTTTAGATGTCATTCCACTCTTAGGTGAGAAATTTCTAGCATAAAAATCTTAGTATTGTGTTGAAATTTGTTTTCCTTAAATCATATTGCTCGAGTACGAGGCATGGGAATAGAAAACTGGATATGTTGAAGAAGGTGCGTGTAGAGGTTAATTCTCTGGTAAGTTGGAATGCTACATCTGATAAAGAATGGGAAAAATACCAGTGCTTAGTTTTTTACTCTTTGAATAACATATTGTGAATATGAGCCCATGGAGGTTCAGAAACAGGGAGACAGAGAACTGAAAAATTGAGAGAGCTCTGCTCCATTTATTGTTTTGCCGCAGGTTAAGGATAAAACAGTTAAAGAAAGGAAAATTGCCTTGAAAATTTTCACTGATGTTGTAGAGGAATTCCGAGAAGAAGCTTTGAAGTAAGCCTAGTCCTTTTTAATTTGGTTAGAGAATGTAAATTTAAAAACTATAATACCAAATTGATAAAGCAGGTTCTGTGAGAGTGAACTCTTGTTGCTATTTAAAGCTTGCAATGATGATGAACCAGAAGTTCAAGAGGTCTGTTTATGACCCAGCCTAGCAATGACAGTGATGTTGTGCACCTCGTAAATAGAGAATATCTCTTATTCAGAACATGAATTATTGCAGGTTGCTGCACATGGAATTGGAGTTGCTGCAGCCTTTGGTGGATCTATCTTCAAGCCTCTGGTTGGAGGTAGCGTGTTTATTCTTCATGTAGTCCTGTTATTACCTGCGCGCAGTATTTATACAATAAATCCCATTTTTTTCATTTGGCAGAAGCAGTTTCTGCTCTAAATGCTAACATAAGCGATTCAATGGCATTGCACCGAGATTACATAATGGCCCATGATGCTGCTGTTACAGCTCTCGGACAAATATACCTATTCCACAAGGACAGAATCAATGCAAGTGAGGTGCGTTGCTACTCTTGCTTCTTATATTTTTGGTACAGGGAGGCGGCGTGTCTAGGACTGGAATTTGGTCTCGAAGTACAGAAAAGTGATTAAATTTTGCAATTCAAGCAATCTAGCTAGCCAAGAGCTATACTATCAAAGGTGTAAGCAATATTCAGGTGTAAGTGTGCTCTTACTGTCACAGATGGTAGTAAGGATTATAATATAATCACGACTGTAACTTATTGTAACCCATAGACTCAATCTGAAATGTATACAAAGGAACGTGGCCTTATATTTTCAATCTTCTAAGTTATCCAATGTAATTTACAGAAAAGTTGCTGTTGAGATTTTCTACAGGTCCCAAAGGGAGTTTTCTACAGCTCTCAGTCTGTGGAAGCAATTTGATACTATATTTATGCTACCAGTAATACAAATAGTTGTAAACTTTATGATAAGTTCCAGCAGAGTTTTCCATGCTGAATTTTGCTAGAAATGCTAATTTTATGATTCGATATTTTCTACTTGTATGCAAGATCTCTCCGTAGGTTAAGTGATTTGTCATGTAAAATCTTCCTTCCTCCTATCCTTTTCAAATGGGATTGTGCTAATTTCATCGACTTCCATTTCTATAATGTTTTTGGCTTTGACAACATTTATTTCTAATCTACTTAGCAGGTGTTTAGTACATGGCTAAGCCATTTGCCAATAAAGAAAAATCTACTGGAAGTCAAAATTGCACATGATCTGCTGTGTTCAATAGTTGAGATGTAAGCCATAAGATATTTATTTTACCATATGAAACTGGTGTAACTATAATTGTCAGAATCAGCTGTTTGATGCATTTTTTATTCTCTCAGATCAGAGGACGAACTTCTTCGCCAAGATTTTGCTTATCTTCCCAAAATCATCGCCGTTTTTGCAGAGGTAATTTCTCTCTCTGACCTGTTGTGGGTAATACTCATAATACAATTTTCACTTTCTGGAAGTAGTTTCCTATGAGATCCAGTCATATATAATATATGTGACCATAATCCCAGCCTTAAAAAAAATGGGCTTTAATAAAGGCCATGAAGGATCAGCCCAAATCTAGTAAAACACCTTGCTTAGAAAAGGGAGCATGTATTAAAATACAATTCTACCAGACTAGGTACCAAAAGAGTCCTTACATACTCATCAAAATACATACAATATGGTTTTCAATCGTCGTCAAGTTTCTGCAAGTTCAGAAAAGGAAATGGTAATTTCTGCTGTTAATGCTTTCCTTGCAGATACTATGGGCTGATGATGAAACTTTAGCAACAGAGGAAACCGTCTACCGAGTGATTAAACAGTTGAGGGAGTTTAAGAGCAGGTTGCCATCAAACATCTGGTCATCTATCCTGTCAACCTTGGAACCCTCTCGTCAGAATGTTTTGCAACTTTCATTATCATCTTAGTTCTCACTATTTCTGGTAATCATGGAGTCCCTTGAGATTGAGCAAGGATTTGTCATGGATACTACTGTTTGAGCCGTATTAAACGATATAAAGCATTTGTTTATTGGAACATTCTTTTCTGTTAAATCTTCTCTTCCTTATTCTCGCTACAAACGAGTTTTTTAGTGGAAGGAAGGTGATTTTTTCTTATAAATAATGGGAAATAAAGTCGGCAATTAAACAGATAGTAACAAATAACAATAATTTAAGTCAATCTCATTGAAATCTGCAACATATGCTGTCAAAAAGATTATTAGTTGGTTCAGGATTCCGAAGCTACCTAGGTTTTAGATCTTGTATAACTAAGTGTTCCTCTCATGTTACAAGTCTCACGGTTCTATCCTTGTCTGTCACTAGATCATCTCAATCTCCCCAGTCTCTGTTTTTGTTTCAACTACTATTGGTTAGACTTTAGAGATATGGAAGTTTTTGGTGATTTGCATTTCCATCTTACTCCACTCGACACAGTTAACCAGGAGATGCTTCCATGACATGTGACAGGATCGGCATTGAGGTTGAAGCCTCTTTCATGCCTCCAATACTTGACGAAGAGGATCTCAAAGGATACAAATCACAACTTGTTGATCACTACTGTAAAATTAACACACATAAACAAAAACATCAATGAATTTTTTTTTTTCAGTATATTGCAATAACCTTAAACAATAGAATTTTTCATACCTGCATCCATCAGTATATACCAAGAAAATTTCAATAGAAAAATTAAAAATTAAAAAAAGTCAAATAAGACGATGATGTATAACTTTTATAGATGGCATTACCAATAGAAATAATATAATTGTAAAGTACATCCGTAAATATGCTGATAACAAAATTTCATCGATATATACTAAGAAAATTATAGAGGGTATTATAGTAGGATTCAAAAAATACAAATTATACGGTGATGTGGCATTTTTACCGATAGAGTTATTGATGATGCTTTCACAACAAAATGTTTAATAATTTTAAAAAAAATAATTTCATTTAACAAATATAATTTCAAGTTTATAAATATTGAGTTTATAAATTAATAATAAAAATAATTTTATTTGACAAATATAATTTCAAGTTTATAAATATTGAGGCTGCAAGAACAATAATATCATCTTTTATGTCATTGATAAAAATTTCATTGTTTCAATAAAACCAGGTTTCCAAACATCCCAAATGGAAACTGCAGATTGATGCATGGTTTTCAAGGTTCAAAGGTTAGTATTAACTTATATATTTTTATATTAATTTGGTTAGTTTATTAAATTTACTGAGATTTTTTTTATAAATTTTTTTTTCAAAGGAAAATTTGAATGGGAAAGAGCTAATAATAACGTTATTATAAGGGTTTGGGAGAATCACGTTACAATTAGTTAAGATCAAATTCAGGATAAAAAATTTTTATTCCAAATGTTAAAATTTTATTTTTTATTTTCTAACAGATAATTAATTTATATCATATAGGTTATGTGATTTTTTATAAGAGACATAAAAGAAAGCCGAAATATATACGAAAAAAAAGAGCTTCCAAGCTGAAATGACACGGCATTTTAAAAGGATTTTAGAATGTTGTGCATTTTAGAGGTTGTATGGGTGTAATACATTCATTATGTGATGTCTGCACTTTTCATATGACAATCATAGTCCGATGTAGAAAATCAAAACCAGCATGTTCATGGCTTCTTTACCACAAACACCGGTCATTCTGTTATGTTTGTTTTACATGTGAAGTGGATTGTAGGATTTTTATTTACTACATCCAGTTTTTTATTAGTTTTTTTATAAATATATTTAACTGACAATATTTTTATCTTATAGGCTATGATTCTTGGACGTTGATTAATACTAGAAAGTGTATTTTTATCAAGGTTTTACATCATCATATTGCATTTAAAGTATCATTAAATTCCCTAACTTAAGCATGATTTATAATAAAAGTCTGATAATATAAGATATCTTTAATTTATGGTAAATACTCATTTCAAATGCATGCATGCTTCACAATTCAAAGGATTGATTGATTGATTGATTTACATAACTATTGAAATTCAGAAGATAAAGAAAAAGTTAAGCTTAGATAAGAGATACTGGTTCAATTCAAACTAGAATACTATTCAGTTATTTGATCATAACTGGAGCTATAGAACTTGGATTTAGATTTGATTTATATGAATGAAAAGTAAAGACATAGACCTAAAACTTTCATGAGAGTCCAATATTCAAAACGATTGTTTTCAAGTTCAAATTATAGCAACAGATAAAAAGTCGAAAGCTATCTTGAAGCCCAGACACTATTTAGTATTCAGCTCATATCTCGAGTTCTAAAAGTCCAAATGAGCTTATTCTTTTGTTGTTGGAAAGCTGAGATGAATGCCTAAAACTTTTATGAGGACTATCTATTCGAATTCTGATGTAGCAATGATGTTTTGTTCAGACAATAAGATAAGTATTGTCACTAAGTCAAGAGGTGGCCACCTACTTAATCAATAGCTTCAAATTTTAGCCTATAAAATAAGGCATTTACCATACATTTAGATATCTTGGTTTTCAGATCAAGATCATTTCCTTACTTGCTTTCTTTCTTTTTAGTTTTAATATTCTAATTTTATTTCATGTTATAGTTTCATTAATATCTTGTTTATGTCTTTTATTTACTTTACTATACTTATATAATTATATTCTCATCTTATTTATTTATGTTTCTCTTCTTTATAATATTTAGATGAGTTTAATACGTCAATGTGAAAAGGTTTCATTAATGGTGTTAGGATATGTATAATCTAAATTCAATATGGATTTCAATGCTTACATCCAAGAAAGTTTTTATTAACATGTCGTATCATTTTTATCTTATTAATTCTCAATATCTTAATTTTTAAATGGTTAATCTAGATTTATATAGTATAACACTTGGTATAATAAATGCTTAATCCTTCATAACCAACTATATGGTATAACTGACAATTTTTAAATGGTTAATCTAGATTTATATAGTATAACACTTGGTATAATAAATGTTTAATCCTTCATAACCAACTATATGGTATAACTGACACATGTGCAATAAAAGAAACTTGATTTGTTGTTAATAGAAGTTAACATCATAAATTCTTGACAATATTTAAAAGTATTGGTGTTAATAAAAATAACATAACTAATATAATCATGTTAATAATTTATAATGAGTTATTAATGACAAATCATCTGATTGAAACCTTCTTCATGTGTGGTTCCAGTTGAGTAATAAAAAAAAGTTGATATTATACTTATTTGAAATTTATTAGTGAATCCTCTAACCTTGACATTTATTCTTATCATTGTTTAATCCTCACATTAATCTTACATTTCAAAATTATCTTTAACTTATTATTATTATTATTATTATTATTATTATTATTATTATTATTAACTTCTAATTCGACTCTAGTTTTATAGGGTTATTTATTATTTTGATACTCCTAAACTTGAGAGAAGATATCAATCTTTTGCTCATGTCAGACGCAAACCAAGCTCGATAGAGTTTTTTGTTAAAATACATGTGCAGAGTGATGACCACCAAAAAAGTATCCAGAAGTTTATGGATAACCGAGCTTGGAACTTTGTGGTTTGTTGGTCTTTAATCATTTTTTTCTTAAGTTATTATTTTCTTGAGTTTGATGAATTTATTTTTTCTTTCTAGGGTACATATAACAACTAATTGAAAGAGAGATACAAGAAAGATCCTTTAACCCATCTGGATTTATAGTTGGAGGTAGGATCGTCTGATGGACCCAATAGAAATCAGGTATACAGACTCTCTAACACTATATTCGTTCACATTTTTTATTAAGATGGGTTATCTGAGCATGTACTTGTTAGTCTGACTCACTACTGATTATGAAGAACTCCGCTGATTGGTAATGATGATGAGATCACAAATAGGTGGTGTATATGCACCCTCTAATTGGTCTCATGATCTCAATGACAACCAGCCTCCTCATCCTTTACCTCCTCCAACACCACTTCTATTTTAGATTTATTGTATATGAAAGTACAAATATTTAAATTTATAATAAATATTTGATTTCTATATTATTTTAATTTATTTAGTTATTTTTCTCCTTTTGTTCAATAATTTTTTTAAAAAAATAAAATATTACTGACAATGTTACCGATGAAATAACTTTGTTGGTATATTCAAGAAAGAATTAGAAAAGAATTATTGTAAATGTCACTGTTATTGTTAACTCACTAATAGAATTATAAATGGTATTTTATCGATGATATGTTATATTTACTATGTCATCTATAAAAGTTATACATCATCGTTTTATTTGACTTTTTTTTAATTTTTAATTTTTTTATTGAAATTTTCTTGGTATATACTGATGGATATTAAATTTACCAATAGAGATATCAACGGAATGAAGTGTAAATTTTTTTGTCGTGCTTTATTTATTTGTAAATTCATCTATTTATTTATTACTGGTATATCATAAATTATCAATGCGAGTTTTTTTTATGGACTGTTTCTATCCATGAACTTGTCAGTAATATATGTACTGCTGAACCGTAAATGTAAATACCAATAGAAATTTTCATTGTCAAAATTGTTAGATTTGGTAGTGGACGTCGATTGTGAATGGAAAGAGGAAGATGTCTTCGTCGATCGTGATCTATTATTGAATGATGACCATCAAGATCAATTATCCGTGATATTATTGGTGATTTGAATATCCCTACCAGGGCATTCATGATTGACAAGATATTAACTTGTGCTTGGCAAATGGCTATGGATAATCTTTACTTGAGTCGTAAGGTTTTGTATATGAGGGTAAAATTGATGTCCCAGCGGGTTTTGAGTCTTCATATGATGATATTGGGGCTGAGTTGAACTTTGCGCCTGCTACTAAATCATCCATTGAGGCTTTGGAGGTTATTAAAGTTGAAGAAGGCTATGCTAAGCAGCCGTGTGCAGTTTGCTTCGAGGAACTCTTGAGTGGTAGTGAAGCAATTCTGTTGCATTGTTCCCATGTTTATCATTGTGGGTGCATTCGTAAATGGTTTAAAATGACTAATTGATTCATGAATGGTTATTTTTGTTCCCGTGTTTTTCCTGAACGATTAGGGTTTGTAATCTCTTACAAGTTTTAGAATTTATTAGTTCAAGAATGAGAGATCTTGAAGTTCAATCTGATTTGATTGAGCTTATGATCATTGATATCATTATGAGTCCAAACTCCAAACTGATTTGGATTTTTTATACACATAATTTTCTTAATATTTTTGTATAAAACTGATAGCTAGGCTTGCTTCAGCATATATCAGTACTTAGCAAAGAAAACGTCTGACGGTTTTGGAGGCCATAGTCACACCTAGTTGAGAAACGGCTAGATTTGCTTCTGATTTATTAACACTTGTTATGCATAAAGCAAACAATCATGCTGTGTCTATGAAGGGCATTCATGACTGACAAGATTTTAACTTGTGCTCGGCAAATGGCTATGGATAATCTTTACTTGAGTCGTAAGGTTTTGTATATGAGGGTAAAATTGATGTCCCAGCGGGTTTTGAGTCTTCATATGATGATATTGGGGCTGAGTTGAACTTTGCGCCTGCTACTAAATCATCCATTGAGGCTTTGGAGGTTATTAAAGTTGAAGAAGACTATGCTAAGCAGCCGTGTGCAGTTTGCTTCGAGGAACTCTTGAGTGGTAGTGAAGCAATTCTGTTGCATTGTTCCCATGTTTATCATTGTGGGTGCATTCGTAAATGGTTTAAAATGACTAATTGATTCATGAATGGTTATTTTTGTTCCCATGTTTTTCCTGAACGATTAGGGTTTGTAATCTCTTACAAGTTTTAGAATTTATTAGTTCAAGAATGAGAGATCTTGAAATTCAATCTGATTTGATTGAGCTTATGATCATTGATATCATTATGAGTCCAAACTCCAAACTGATTTGGATTTTTTATACACATAATTTTCTTAATATTTTTGTATAAAACTGATAGCTAGGCTTGCTTCAGCATATATCAGTACTTAGCAAAGAAAACGTCTGACGGTTTTGGAGGCCATAGTCACACCTAGTTGAGAAACGGCTAGATTTGCTTCTGATTTATTAACACTTGTTATGCATAAAGCAAACAATCATGCTGTGTCTATGAATCACTAGTGCTACGTATAAACAAAGTCGTAAAGTCTAACGGTGCTTTTATATACGTTCTTCTTCCATCGGTCGGACAGAGAATTGCTAATCTAGTTTTCCAAAAGAAATGGCATCATACCTCATTTATTTTCTCTTAAAAAGATGGTAAGATCTATGAACAAGAAAGCACACAGAATCCCTGAAGGATCAATTTAGCAGGGAACGTTATTTTGATCTAAAACAAGACACTGACACTTTTAGTTTCATTTGTTAAGGCGATATGTAGGAATAGCTACTAGATGCTTGGACCTGCACATTACGAGACCGAACTCTTCAGTCATGTCCACTTCAGATGGCAATATTCCATTTGGAAGTTCCCAATCAAAGCAATGCACCAGCTGCGCAAGCACCAGTCGCACCACAGTTAGCCCCAGTTGCATTCCAGGGCAGCTTCTGCGGCCAGTGCCAAATGGAATAAGCTGGAAGTTTCGGCCCCGAACATCTATGTCACTGCCAACAAACCTCTCTGGGTAAAACTTTTCTGCATCGGTCCAAGCTTTTGGGTCTCGACCAATGGCCCATACATTGATTATAACATGTGATTTCTTTGGTATGTGGAAGCCGTTCACAATGCAGTCCTCCATGGCCTCATGAGGGATCATCAAAGGACCCGCTGGATGGAGCCGCAAGGTTTCCTTCACAACCATGTCTAGGTACTCCAACCTCTCCAAGTCTGATTCTTCTACCATCCTTTGCTTTCCAACTGCTTCTTCTAATTCTTTTTGCAGTTTCTTCATAACCCGTGGATTTTTTATCAGTTCTGAGAATGCCCAGTCAATCACAGTTGCTGAAGTGTCCATTGAACCCGCAAGCATGTCCTGCAAAATGTCATGTGCAGGAGCATAATGATATTTAGATTAGTAATGCTACCTTTATCGCCTAGTTAATTCAACTCTTTCATTAAGATTAAAACATAAAATTTTCATTTACCAGCATTATGGCTTTCATACAGCCTTGATCAACAAGGTGCTCGTTTTCTTCGGATTTCATGAAACTTAGCATGACATCAACAAAGTCCTTGTTTTTGCCCTTCTCCTGGTATTGGGCATGCTCATCAATAATCTTGTTAAGATACACATCTAACACTTTGGAAATAGCCTTCATGCGTTTTGTCAGTCCCTGGAGATCAAGAGCTGCGATTTGAGGAATGTAATCTCCCAAGTGTGGAGCTGCTGATAAATGCATGACCTCTTGCATCACAGATTTGAATCCCCTCTCATCAAGATCCTCATCTAAATATTTCTTCCCAAACACCATTCTACAGCTCATGTCAGCATTGAGGGACGAAACCTTAGCACTCAGATCGACAGCAACACGTTCCCGTGCAGCTTCTTGAATGTACTTAATCAACAGATCAAGTTCTTCCATTCTCGTTGACTTGAAAGATGTAATTTTCAAGCTACTAAGCAACTCTATTGTGCACATCTTACGCATGTTGCGCCAGTACGGGCCGTATTGTGCAAAAGTCATGCCTTTTTGTCCATAAGAGAAGTACCTTGCAGCCTCGTGAGGTGGTCTACCAGCAAAAACAAGGTCATGGGTCTTAAGAAATAATTCGGCAGCTTCAGGCGAAGAGACAACAATGGTTGGCACCAGGCCTAACCGCAAATGCATGATGGGGCCATATTTTTGAGCAAGCTGATGAAGAGCTCGATGAGGAAACTTCCCTAACATATGAAGACTTCCAAAAATTGGAAACCCTCTTGGACCAGGCGGTAGTCTCTTATTCTTGGTGCTTAACCATTGGAGCAGAAAGATAAGTGCAACAAAGGCTAGAGAAGTCCAAATCCAAGCCATGGATGTGATTCTATAGCTTGCTGTTCTTGAAGTGTATAAAATCTCTACCCTTTTATTTACTTGGATATTGTGACTTATGAATCGAAAGCCTGAAGGAAAAACAAACAGGAGAGGTAAGTTCAACGTTGTTGTTGTTTACTGTTTTGATCCTACTTTGACTTGTGTAATTAAGATCGATCGTGACATACAATAAAAAGTTACGTTGTTGTTGTTGTTGTTCGTTGTTTTGATCGAACTTAATTTGACTTGTGTCATTAAGATCGATCGTGACATACAATAAAAACACAAAAGCATGATTTGCTTAATTCAGGTTTGATTGTTAAATGTTTTGTTATTGTTTATAATTTATATCAAATTATTAAATTACTTGATACTATTAAATCCAATCAAATTCATAATTCAAGTATTACATATTTCTTGTTTTTTTATAAATAAGATTGTCGTCTAAGCTTTTCGCTATAAAAGCACAAAAGCATGATTTGCTTAATTAAGTTTAATTGTGTCACCACTGATATTATATACTTGAGAGTTATTTTGAGAATCCTGCTGATTACTTTTTAAAATAAAATTTAAAAATATATTAAAATAATATTTTTTAAAATTTTTTAAATTTATTTTTAACATCAACATATTAAAATAATATATAAATATTAAAAATTTTATTTTAAATAACAAAATTAATTATTTAAAAAAAATAACTTCTAAAACGTAAAAACAGTAGAAGGTGCAAGACGCCATTCCACCGCTGGGCCGTTGCCTTGGGTGCTGTCTAAGCTTTTCTTTCTTTCTTTTTATGTGTGCTCAAAAATTTTCTGACCGCACATAACATAACACGTGTTAATAATTGAGTGATATACTAATATTTCTTTATTAATAAAATATGTTCTATCAGCGTTGTAAAAAGAATTCTTGCGACAAAATAAATTGACATCAACGCATTCCCGGCAACTGCCACCGCTTCATCCGTATTTGTTTGCTCAGATTCGTGATCAACTTTAACCAAAAAAAACCGTTTGCATCCGAGCCCCTGATCTCTCTTAAATTTCATATGATTCCCTTTTTCTCTACGAAAACGGAAAAACTCTCCTCTTATGCTGATATGATAACACTTTGGTGCAGATATACCCACCCGCCTCTTACAAAACCAAGAAAAATGCTATCAGCACACTCTCTACAGCTCTCAACACTTCATTCTTCTTCATTTACCCATGACTGTTCTCAAATTATTTTATTTTATTTTTTCATTTAAAATTAAAAAAATCACGTTTTTAAATCATTTTAATATACCAATATAAAAAAATACGTTTTTAAATCATTTTGATACACCAATATAAAAAAAATTAAAAAATATAACAACTTCGAAACTTCGAACACTAATATCTTGCATTTCAACCGAATCCAAAAAGAAACCAGTTTAAACTGACGAGGAATCGGAGGCCCAGGAGCAAGTTCGGTTGATATTGAGGAGTTTCAGTGATATACAACCTTGGTGAAGACACATGATAAGTGTGTTAAACTCACGAGGACTGAGCACTGCCTTATGCTGTTTGAAGACCTTGGCAAGACTGACGAGTGGCTTCAATGCCTTGCGGTTTTTGTGCCTTTGGACTCTTTGTATTGAATCTTTATGTGTTTTTAGGTTGTGGGTACTTGATGCTAATGAGATTTTGTTTTAACTTCTTGTCTTGTTCATCTATTATATGGGTTTGGTTCACATTTTGCCTTAGTAGTCGTTGGATAAGTAAAGAAGTGGTTTTTAACTGGAAGTTTTTCTTTTCTTGGTCTAGTTTCTTTGCTTTTTAAACCACAGTCATTATCAAGCTGTAATTGAAGATTGGAAATTTCCATGTCATGTGAATGTAATTATACTTTGTGTTATCATTTTTACCTAAAATAGTTAAAATTTACGACATTGTCCCTGGAATGCTTGTTTTTCTAATATGATGATCTCATTGTCAAAAAAGATTCATTCACAATTGAATTTTACAAAGGACAAGATATATTTACATTTATTATTAATCAATAATTATAAGAATTAAATAATAGATGAAGTGATCAAGGTTTTTATATTTGGTGCAGCTTTTGATTAAAAAAATTTATAAATTTTTAAGTATTGAATATACATGCAGATTTGTTGATAAGTTCTATCCTTAAAATTTTTCTAATCAAGAAAAAATTTATTTGAGATTCTAATTATAGTATTATAAATTTGATGTATCTAATCATCTAGAGTTTAAGAATTTTCTATCAATTATTGAATTATGCTAAGGATTGGTAAAAACTAGAAAATCATCAATTTATCCATTATCTAACAAATTGATTCGGTATATTATGACAACTATTGAATGAGTTTTTTTGCAATGAAAATTGTTAAAATAAAAATTCATAATCAGATGGAGGATAATTTTTTATAGATTATTTGATTATTTATATAAAAAAATTATAGAAAGATTCATGATAGATATTATAATCGATAATTTATATTCTATGAAAAAATAACGAGCATAATTAAAATAAATATGTAAGAATCTTTTTTTATTATTATTTTTTTGTTATTTTACTTTATTTAAAAATTTATCAAACATAAATAATATTTTGTTTTGGCTAATGTTTTTCATAAACTTTGTATATTTATTTTTTATAGGTATGAAGACCAATAAAATTAAAATAATGAATGTATCATAAAGATACAATTTATTTTATAATTTTGATTCTATTTGGTATTGCTATCACCCTCTTCCCGCGTACAAAGATTGTTTTATATTTATAGTAAGTTATTTGCACAAAATTAAATCATGCAGTCTTTTGTGTTTACAACTTATGCATCGTAGATTAGAAGAAAAAAATTATATATCTTGTTACATTAGTTTTGAGTCGGTAAATTATCCTAGCTCCGCCACCGACTAAAGCTCTTGTGTACTTTGGGAAGATGAAAGGCATTGAATGGTGCCAACCCAATGTTGTGACTTATAATATTTCAAGCTCGAAATATAATTCAAGTTAATGCTTTATTTAAAGATCTTGATGTTGTTTCGCCTGATATATACACATGTAATTGTGTGATGGATGCATGTGGGGAAAATGGGATTATCTGAGAAATGGAATATGTACTTTCTCGCATGAAAAGTTATCAATGTAAGCTTGACATTATTACTTTTAATTTGCTGATTGATTCATATGGGAAGAAGCAATATTTGAGAAGATGGAACAAGTGTTTAGGAGTTTGCTAGGTCCAAGGAAAACCAACTTCGCCTGCATTCAATTCTATGATAGTAAATTATGGGAAGGCGCGGCTGAAAGATAAAGCAGAGAGTGTTTTCAAGAAGATCTAATATGAGATGCACACCGGGCTTCATTACATACGAGAGTCTCATCATGGTGTATGGAATCTGTGACTGTTTCTAATGCCAGAGATATATTTGATAATATGATTGAATCAGGTAAGGAGATCAAAGTTTCCTCCGTAGTTGTCATGCTTAACGTTTACTGTATGAATGGTTTGCACATGGAAGCACATATACTTCTTGAAAATGCACATGGTGTAGGGTTGCTTCCAAATTCATCGACATATAAACATCCTTACAGGGAATACACAAAAGCTAACATGAAGGAGCTTGTGCAAAAGTTGCTAAAGCATATGGATAAAGATGGCATCATCCGTAATAAGAAGTCCTCCTTGGATGCTTTCGGAGCTTCCAATTCTTCAGTGGCAAGTCCGGATTCTGCCATTCCTCTCAAGGGTTCAAGCAGTGCACATAACGATGCCATGAATTTGGCAGAATGATTGGTAGTTTGTTTCATGATTTTTTCTGGTCTTTTCCAGCCCGGAAGGATTTTGTAAAGTTCATATCACAATGGAACAGTTGGCTAATTTAGTCCCTGATTGGTAGACTGCTGAAATGATTTTGACAGCACACAGCATGGTATGTATTCTGTTGTCCTTTTAGCCTCCTGATCATAGTCTTGCTGTTCTTCTTGCTTTGTTTCTTGAAAATCAACATCCTTCACTATATTTACTTTTATTTTCAAATTCAGTATGCCTCAAGATATCTTGAATGTACTACTTGCTGCACCAGCTTTTTGGGTGTATCTTCTCTGTCTGCATTTCAACTTAGGTTTACAGATATTCGGCATCAGCGATCCTAATAAAGCACGGTTGTAGTACTTTAACTGCAAGTGTAAAACTAGTCACATTCTTTATGGATAAAGAAAATTATCCTTGTCGCCAAACCTAAGCGGTTGTGTCAGCAGCTTAACCAGCTTTTTTTTCTTTGTTTCAGTGATAAGATTGCTTGTTGGCTTAAACGTGACATTCTAGCTATGGACCTGACCAATTTACATGCAAGATTTAATGCTGCTTCTCCTTCCTTTTGCTACCTAAAAAACCAAGCCAGATAAATCATATTTCAGCAAATTTCTGTGGCTGGAATGGTTCTGGTGTTTTGATTAGTATATTCATAATGTAGATAAGTAAAAATCCAGTAGCAATCATATCCTTTCCTGCTTGATTTTTTTTTGGTTGTTTTGTTTTCTTCTAGCAGCCCAGATGCATAGAACAAATTTCTTTTTTCCTCCTTTTCAAATAATTTTGAACATGCTCTAAAATTCATTGTTTGCTGAAGGCTTATATGCATTTCAAAGTATTTTTGGTACACTGCAAGCTAATATGCTTGCTTTTTTGACCCAAAATAGAGAATTTTAGAAGTAGAATTCCTTAGGATGTCGCAGGCATCTCCCCCCCAGCACGCTAAATTATACAACACTTGACGTGATAAAGGCGAGCCCTCCTGAGATCCTTGATGTAACTTTCTGTGCTACTTTCTCACTTTAACACATGAGGTAGCTTGGGGCTACAAGGGGAGGGGAAGAAAGGGGAAAACGGCTGTCAAGCTAGGATTATACTGGTCCTTCGATATCTACTCGATCATTGTGAGGAAACCTTGAACATGGGGACTGTCTTTCCACAATTGACACGGTAGTATTGTTTTTATTTTTTTGATGCAAGACAAGATAGTACTGTACAATCTTTTTTATATATAAAATAGCATTGTAAAGGCGAAGTTTAAATTAGATACCCATGTTTTTTCTTCATTGATGGTTCATGGCAAA